CATTATAACTCTAAATAAAAAAAATTTTTACTGACCTGTTAGTTTAGTTTGTGCAACAAAAAAAAAGAGAACTCCGCTTCTAATTGCTGTGCAAGACAGCTGGAACACACACACAGATAGAGTACATTTAAATATATGTAAATACATTAAACAGAATAAAACAAAATAAAACACATTTACGAACCTTTAAAATTTACTTCAGCTGCCGAAGCGGTCGTGCCGGGGTCTTGTCGCTCGGTGATGAAAGTAGTGACGGGTCTGGAACGCAGAAGGTGCCTTGTCGCCGATGGTGGTATGGAGTGAATGAGACGCATTCTTTTAAACGCTTCGAGAACCGGAAGGGGCGGGAATTAATGCTTTAAACATGATCTGATTGGCTGAGGGGTGGGTCTAAAGCCTAACCCTATCCGCTGATTGGATGATGGTTAATTTTTTGATGATAAGTTTCACCGCCTGTCAGCTTCAGCGAGGCAGGAAGTCACGAACCCATGAGAGGGAGGGTGAGCAGACAGATGGGCTGTGGACACCTGCCAAAACAGGATGTTGCGGTCAACAGAATAGACTTCGTGTCAGCTCAAACTCTTTGCAATAAAACATCTGCTCAAAAACACGATGTTGTGGTCATGGCTTACAGTAATTCGAGGGGGTAAGAGGGGGCTAGGGTTACGGTAAATCGAGAGGGGAAAGGGAGGGTAGGGGTTGTTGGAAGTAGAGGGGGATGAGGGAGGGGTATAGTTATGGTAAATGAAAAGAGGAAGTCACGAAACGGAAGTTGACCACATATGGAGGTCCTACAGGAAGGACAGACCGGAAGTTGACCATATACGGATGCCCCGCCTTAAAGGGGCGTGGCACTTGTCACTTTTGTGTGACATCATTTCTTAATTAGTTGACGAAAGTTGGGGTATATTATCTCTCACATGAAGCTTTCTATGAGCTGCTGAAAGTTACTGGAGGTGAGTAAAAATTTTGAAAAAATTGTTGTGATTATCTGTCAATACATTTTGCAAAACTAGAGGCTGAACAGCTACAATGTTGATCCTGACTGTCTGAGCAGCAGAGAACTTCGCTGCTGCTCCGCTTCCTCCTTGTGCCAAGTGTTGCCAGATGGGAAATGTTGAATTATCATATCAGCAGCTCAAAATTATCGTATTTTGAGGAAAATTATCGTACACACCGAAGTTACATTCTAGAGAGGCTCAAATTTACATCCCGTTCAGCTCACAAATGCTCTGTATTCAACAAACTGCACATTCCTTTTTGTTTATAATAAAGTTAAAAAGCACTGTATCTGACTGTTGAGTGTCCTTTTTTAACAAAAGCTTTATTGTAAACAAGAACAAAACAGAGAGCCTGGTGAAATGATGCATATAAAAGGAAATATTAGATAAAATGACTATGATAAAATGTAAATTAAAATAGGCAAAGTTAAAATGAAATCAGGACAATAACAAATCATAGTAGTTTAGTCAAGGAATAAATTGAGTGCACACTGAATAAATTTAATCTGCAAGCCTCAAAAAAACTTTTTTTATTTAAAAATAGCTTCTGGATGACACCTGGATGTTTATTAAATGTAAATGTTGCTTATACTACACACCTTCTCAGTCCCACCTTTTCTTTTTGATTTTACAGTTATTATTTCTTTCACATAAGTGTTATCCTTACTGCTATAATGTGGGAGGGGGATCTGGGGTTCTCCCCCAGAAAATTTTGAATGA